TCAGGCTGTTCTCCATCCAGAGGCTCCTCAGGTGCCAGCAGAGCTTCCCTGGGAAGCAGCTCCTGGCTCCAGCAGGAGTTTGAAGCATCAGGGGTTGGTCCCATCCTAAAGAAGGATTTTTCAGAGCTATCCCAGCACAGCTGACAGAGCCCAAACCCCCCCTGCCCCATTCCCAGAGCTGCAGTGACCATGGAAAGCCAGGGGCCAGCAGGTTGGAAAGTTTCCTTCACAGACTTCTAATTGTTTTTGTTATTATCATGTACAGCTCCTATTCCTTAGCCCTTCACATCAGCAGTTATTTTAATTAAGCTTCCCAATGTCATGATTTTCACTCAATTCAATTGTTTCACTGAACCAGTGCCAGCTCATGTTTTTAAAAAATTGATGAGCCCCTCTATGAGATTTGTACACCAGGCAGAAGCTGTGCAGCTGCTTTAGGGTTGTCAGCCCCGACACAAATATTCACATTGTGGCAGCAAAAATGCCCAGGAATTCTATTGCGCAGCATAGTAACCTGCATGGCAATTAACCAGCAATTAATTGCTTTAAAATACATTCAGCTGATTGTTGTGGTGTTGTGAGGGTCCCCAGGATGAGGTGAGAGATGAGAATTTGACCCCATGTTCTCAGAAGGCTGAATATTATATTATATTATATATATTATATTATATTATATTATATTATATTATATTATATTATATTATATTATATTATATTATATTAATTATATTATATTATATATCATATATCATATATCATATCCTAAAACTGTACTAAGGAAAGAGAAAGGAGCCATCAGAAGGCTGGAAAGGAATGAAGAATAAAAACTCATGACTGACCAGAATCCTGACACAGCTGGACTGGGATTGGCCATTAATTAAAAACAATTCACATGCTGGGTAAACAATTCTCCAAATCACATTCCAGGGCAGCAAAACATAGAAAAGCTGAGGCTTCTCATCTTGCCAGCAGAAGAAATCCTAGCAAAGAAATGTTTCAAAAAACATCACAATAACAGCTGGCCACTCTGAGAATGGGTTGATTATTTATTTGGAATTGAAACCCTTGAAAGAGCCCCCAGCCCAGTTCCCTGTGCTGCTGCCTTGGCCATTGCTCAGCAAGGAGGGAACACTGACTGCAGAATAAATTCTGATACATTTTAGGGCCCCATTTGCAGGCTCTGAACGTGTGCATGATGCACATTAACAAATATCTCATATTTTATCATCACAGCTTCCCTCTCCCTGCTTATTGTGCTTTTCATTTTCTTCAGTGAGGCAGATGGGACAGAATATTCCATCTCTGGGAGGGAGCAAATGCCCCATCAAGCAAAACAGACACTTCTGGATGAACTTGTGCTCTCCAGACCAGTTCCTCCACAGATAAATAAACCACAGGGAAATTCAGGTTATCAAGTAATTCTCATGGATATGATAGACTAGAAATGGAAAATATGAAAGGAAAATTATCTCCAAGTATTTCAAAGTGACTGGAGAAATAAACTAGCTTTTCAAAATGATAAGGTACACAATAATATTTCTATTTAAATTCTGATTTTTATATCTATTTATTAACAACAAGCATTTAAACTTCCATGCCCTCACCTTGTGTCCATTTTTAAAGTAATGTAAAAGAGGATTTTCCAAAGAATTTACAAAAAAAATTAGAGAGAAGCAGGAAAATGGGAAAGGTGCTCTCCCACAGGCTCACAGTTCCTTTTTCCAGAGGTTTTCTCTCTGTAGCATCCTGGGATCAAAACAAGAACCACAGTGGCACCTTCCAGACTGCAGAGAAATCATTACACTGACAGATTTGCAGGATCCCATTATCAGCACTTATCAAATATCTGCATTTATATTGGAAAATAGGAAATTGCTGTTGAAAATTAGGCAGAAAAAGCGGGATGGAAGGCATTTTACCCGTGCAGAATGCAGGTGAAATCCTAGCAGACACATTTATTGCACTCTTTAGGGATGCAGACACGCAGCTCAGGCTCCTGGTGCATTGTTCAGGGGAGGATCAAAGCCTGGCCACAGGAGGACAAGGTTTCCCAGCAGAGGACAAGGGTTTGCTGCCTTTCTGTGCACCAAAGAGGGAATAAAGGCACGTTTTGTCCCACCTGAGCTGGCAGTGGCTCCATGAGTCAATGGCTCTCGCTCCCAGCCAAGGGATCAAAGCTCTGTGCTCTGCCAGATCCCAAACCAGGTTCAGTACAGCCAGTTTGGGATGGCCCTCACTCCTTCTGGGACTCCCCAGTAAAAGCTCTCCCTTCCTCATTCCTTCAGAATTCCTGACTCTTCCATCCCATTTTCCCAGGTGTTTTCTGAGGAGAGTCCACTTAACCCCTCCCAGATGCTCCTGTTTGAGTCCAGGGGTGTCATATTGATATTTTCCTCCGGGGAAGCTGAGAAGCCTCAGAGAAAAATGTAAATAATAATTACCTGATTGCTTTTCCTGTGTTTGGCTGCTTTGGGATGTGATCTGGAGATTGCTTACCAACAGCTGCATGTTGGGTTGGTTTCTTGTGAATTGTTTTGACTTAATGACCAATCACCATCAGCTGTGTCAGGACTCTGGAAGGAGACATGAGTTTTCATTATCATTCTTGCTAAGCCTTCTGTAAGTATCCTTTCTCTTTCTTTAGTATAGTTTTAGCACAGCATATCATAATTATAATATAGCTATAATATAATTATAATATAATAATAAATCAGCTTTCTGAGAACATGGAGTCAGATTCTCATCTCCTACCTCATCCTGGGGACCCTCACAAACTCAGCGCAGGGGAGCTCTGAGCCATGACACCCAGGCTTGTGAAGCCTTCATGAGCCAGCACAAATCCAGGGACAGCACCCCATTGTCATTCCCAAAGGGAATTTGCATTTTCCACAACTTTTCTGGTGCCCAGATTGCAGGGTACCCCAAGAACAAACTGCAGCTCTGCTTTTGGGATGTTTTAGGCTAAACCCAGCTGGTGATGGTACCTGAACTGCTGGTTGCTGGAGAGCTCTCCTCTTCCTCTGCCTCCACATCCTGCCCTCGCTGTCCCACGAGTCTCCTGAGGGATCAATCACCATTTCACAGGGACGGAGGTGTCCCTGCCAGGGCAGGCTGGAATGGGATCAGCTTGGGTCCCTTCCCACCCAACCCATTCCATCCCAGCAGCCTTTGGTTCTTCAGATTGCAGATTTACCTTTGAAGAAAGATTATTTTGATTAAGCGATGCAAAAATCAAAAGATTTGTTAATTGCATTGTTTGCCTTTCCAAGAGTTTGCACAACTAATTTTCCACAACACAAAATATTGCAATCACAAATGTGCTACAAAGCAAAGCCAAGAATAAGTGAAGAACCTCTAGACAAGATCACAGTGTTCACTGATGGCTCAGAGAAGACACACAAGTCAGTGATCACATAGATGAACTCAATGAAAATGAGCTGAGGTGACAAAAATCAGGAATTATCCTCTTCCAAAAACAACACAGAGATGGAAGAATAACCCAGCCCCTCCTGATCCCTGCTGACCCTCCCCAGGACAGCAGATCCCTGCTGGTGCCCCAGAGCAGGAGGATTCTCCTGAGCCCCACCTGCAGCTCCCAGGTGGGCAGGGGGAGCTGTAAATCCTCTCCTCAGCACTTGGCAGAACCAATCTCCTTTAATCTGCTCTCTTTATGGCACCTCCTTGGCTGTCAGAGCTGGGATTTATGGACTGTCAGCAGAGTCCAAAAGGCCAATATCTTCCTCCAGGAGCTCCCTGCCAGTGGCCAGGAAGGGATTTAAAGGCAGCATTTCACTCACTGGAGCCTCAGAGCTGCAGTGTTCCAGCAGCAGCAGCAGCAGCGTTCTAAGGCAATAAAAATGTACATGTGTTGGGCAAATTAATACAAAATTAGGGCACTGCTTTGTTGGAGTGATCTTCCTGGAGGGAAAGTGGAGCAAGGCATGGAAAAGTACAGCTGGGAGCTGTGGGGAGGTGTCTGTGCACCAGTGACCCCCTGGCACACTCAGGACCTGCACCACCCCGTTCCTTATCAAATCCAGAGGAATCCCCAGGGCTCAGCAGCCTCCCCAGTGCAGGGTGAGGGGGATCCAGCTCTGGGGCACTGGCACTGATCAGCCCTGAGCTCCCACACCAAGGATTCCCTCCCCAGGAAGAGCTGGGTGCTTTTTGTGCAGCACTTACACTTAGAGGCTGAAAAGAGAAGAGGCCCTTGGAGATCCAGAGGATAAAAATAATTACATCTGATTCTGAAAATCAATATCTTTTCTTAACCAGTCTGGCAAGACTGCGTCCAAGTAATTAGTTAAGGAAAAAATTATTTATGTAAGATCAGTACTTAAATGTCTCCAATACGATATTCATTGGCATAATATTGAGGGAGCAATTGTGAAGTGTTAACTGACTTAGCACAAACAGGTCGAAAAAACAACAACTATTCTGGCTTGAAGGGAGTCAACAAGAGATGAGAAAGATTTTTTGTAAGAGCATGGAGGGACAGGATAAGGGGGAGCTGCTTCACAGTGACAGGGGGCAAGACAGATGGGATATTGGGAATGAGGAATTGTTCCCTGGCAGGGTGGGCAGCCCTGGCACAGGTGCCCAGAGCAGCTGGGGCTGCCCCTGGATCCCTGGCAGTGCCCAAGGCCAGGCTGGATGAAGCTCTGAGCACCCTGGGACAGTGGGAGGTGTCCCTGCCATGGCAGGGGTGGCACTGGGTGGGGTTTAGGGTCCCTTCCAACCCAAACCATTCCATGATTCTGTGACCTTAAAGACCAAAACTGAGTTACAGCCAGACCAAGTGATTGACCCAGGGTCACACAAACCACCTGCAGCAGAGGCAAAACCAGCCCAACATGTTCCAGACCAGTCCAGTGGTCAACCCCAGCTCATCCTCCCTCCCCCCATCCCTGAGCCATGCTCTCAGCACCACAGACAGGGGCTGGGATTTCAGGGCAGCCCCACTCCCTGTTCTGCACCTCATCCCAAAGGACTCCTCTGCCTCCGTCTGAGTGAAGCATTCACATGCACACGAGCATCTGCACAACTGCTCCCCGGGTGAGAAATATTCCAAAACATGCCCCCTGCAAGGGGAGAAGCATCTGCCCCCCCTCTCCTCCTACATGTGTATTTTGCATCTGTAAACCATAAACATATGATAAAAGCACTGCAAGCCTCGCTGGAGCTCGGAGGCAAAAGCGATCAGTTTTGCTCTGCCAGTTTGAAAATGGCTTTCTTGATGAAACTCATGAGTCTGCTGGAGACTGAGACACAGATGGATGAGCTGAGCATATGATAAACCTGCTGCATGAGTTTGTAGTTAATTGCCCATCATCTTTTTTGTCTCCCCATAAAACATTTCACGCCCACCTTGCACAGCAAAGGTAACCCGAGTGTCACAAACCATTTGTCTCCTGAGCCTGCCCCGCTGCACTCCCCGAGCTCTGGTGCTGAGGGAGCCCTGCAGACAAGACAAATCTGCTGAGCCCTTTTACAGATGAGCCATGCTGCATCTTTTATCAAATGATCTCCATTCTCTAATGAGGAGAAACACCTCCCAGAGTCATTTGCATGCTAATATCTTTATTTCTAAAACAATAAGCAGGCTGGGAGCCGCCAGTCAGCACAGACACTGCATTTCCATCAGCCAGGGGTGGAGAGAGCCAAGGAACCAGGTCCGTTCCCCTGGGCACAGAGGGGACTTTGAGCTGAGCACAGAGAGGGGTCCAGGACAAGAACCATTCCCTGGTGGGGGACCCATCACTGCTGGGCTGTGCAGGGCCAGGAGCTGGACCTGGTGATCCCTGGGAGTTCCTTCCAACCCAGGGTATTCACAGAATCTCACACTGCTCTGGGGTGGAAGGGACATAAAAGATCATTTGTTCCACCCCTGCCATGGCAGGGACCCCTCCCACTGTCCCAGGTGCTCCCAGCCCCAATGTCCAGCCTGGCCTTGGGCACTGCCAGGGATCCAGGGGCAGCCCCAGCCAGGGCCTGCCCACCCTCCAGGGAAGGATTTCATCCCAACATTTAATCTAAACCTGAGCTTTAAACCATTCCCCTCTCCTGTCACTCCACACTTGTGCCCAAAGTCCCTCTCCACCTTTCCTGGATCTCTCCATTCCCCCTTGAATCAGGTTTTACCTCCTCAGAGCTGTTGGGAGGCAGCTGCTGCAGGTGCCAGGGGTGGGGCTGGCACTGCAGGCACCAGAGCTCCCACACTGCACATCTGCCCTGCATTCCTCTCCTTCTCCTGTGTCTCCACTGGGGACAAAGCGTGCAGGAGCAGGTCATTCCAGGGCAGCAGCGAGGAACACAAAGCACTGTCAGGCACCACAGCTCTAACCCTGCCCTCAGAGGCTCTGCTGTGCTCTGCTCCTCCCTGCCACAGCTCGGGGGCACACACTGTCATCACTCTGCCATGTGTTGGGGCTTGTCCTGCCTCCCAACACCTGGGCTTGTCTGAGCTGAGCCATTCTGCTGGGCAGCACTCACTGAACAGAGGGAAAAGGGGGAATGAAGAAACCTTCCCTGTACTGAGGCAATCAGAGCAGATGGAGCCTTTCCTCCAGCGTGCCCAGCAGGCCCTCTGGGAAGCCACAAACCCTCCAGGGGTGGCAGGGCTCCCCACAACCTTCTCCTCAGCAAAGCCTAATGGGCAGTCAAAGGAATCAGCCCCACTGTCCCCATCGTGCTTTCCAGTTTGTGGCCCTGATTTACAGGATTTCCACCTCCAGCAGAGAGATGTTCCCTGCTGCCCCCAGGGCACAGATGGGCTTTGCCTGCCCGGAGCAGCAGAGAGCACAGGAGCTGCCAGCACAGGGCTCCTCGCTCTGGAAACGCTGCTGGGAACAAGGAGGACTCCACTGAACACCTAATTTTGGAATTTGCTGAATAGCAGCAGGAATGGCTCAGGGGAGAGGAACAAACTCTCCCAACATCACCGTGCAGCCTCTGCTGAGGCACAAACCACAACACAGATAACAGAAGTGGGAATTGTTCTACTGGTTTCTGCATTTATGATATTGCTAACCTCGATTTGTTCTATTGGGTCCTGCATTTATGATATTGGTAACCTGGATTTGTTCTATTGGGGCCTGCATTTATGATATTGATAACCAGGATTTGTTCTAGTGGGGACTGCATTAATGATATTGATAACCTGGATTTGATCTATTGAGTCCTGTATTGATGATATTGGTAACCTGGATTTGATCTATTGGGTCCTGCATTTATGTTATTGTTAACCTCAATTTGTTCTATTGGGTCCTGTATTTATGATATTAACCGCGATTTGTTCTATTGGGTCCTGTATTTATGATATTGGTTCTTTATTGTTATATAGGCAGCTCTCCAGAGGGACTCACACAAAGTTATCACCTTGCTAATGAAGCTGGTATTTTTTATACCTGTGCATGCGGACACATTTGGTTGATTTTGGTTATGTGCTTATGGGTTTGTGTCCTTACAGCTCTCAGTACATTAAAACTGCCTGTTTGCACTACCCATTTGATATTTCATCCTTTTTTTAGCCTAAAACATAATTTTACTCTATGAAAATATAGGAATATTATAGAAAGGTAAAAATTGTATTTATCTAAGACTATGACTGTGTAAGCGCTTGAGAAGTGATGGAAATGATTAAAACCACTCCTGTCCTGATATAAAGCCAAGAATGGAAATAATCTTGTTAGCAAGCAATTAGAAAGCCTCTGCCTCTCTCAGGGCTCTGTGGAAGTGCCTCAGAGATGCCCATTGTTCCCCATGGACCTGAGGAGAGCCATTCCACATGCTCTGTTTTTCTTTCTGACTGCATTAAAACAAACACTCGGTGAGGGAGGTTTTCCCCATCTCCTTCAAAAGGCTGCCACCATATGGGGGATTGGTTTTAATACAAGGCTCAGGTTGGGGTTTTGCAGGTGGAGATTGCTGGAGGCCCAGTTCAGCCTCAGGAAGTGAGGCACACAAACAGCTCTGTCCACAAAGGGCTGGGGGTACCTTCCCCTTCACAAACCTGCACTTTCTGCTCCCATGGCATTGTTTTCATTCCAGTCTCACCCACTGGTGTCACCCACAGCTCTGTGGGTCAGGAACTGCAGCATTCCAGCTCTGCTGGAACGATCAGTGAAGGATCAGTGAAGGATCAATGTCACTGACTGCTCCCTCATCTCCTGTTCTATGGAAGGTCCTGCTCATGGAACCAGACCATCTTTAAGGTCTCTTCCAACCCAACCCGCTGTGCCACTGAGTTATTCTCTGGAAAAATGAGCTCACCTGCCCAGCAGGAGTGTGAGGGTACCCTGGATCCAGAGGAGTGCCATTCCCAATCCATGGATAGCAGTGGGTGAGCACTGAAAGCTCTTACTCTGAGAACAAACATGATCCAACACAAAACACATTGCCTTTCTATGGGAAAGAAGATAAAGAAAGTGAGAGCAGGTGAAATGAGGAAAGCATAAAGCCTTTTTATACATTAGAATTTCTCCACCAGATCTGACACCATTCCACACTGGAGCATACCAGCTGAAGAACTAACCCCAAAACAGTACTTGAATTTGATAAATAGAATAAATCCCCATCTCTCAGTGGAACAGATTAAGCCAGAGGTTCTTCCTATCAAGCTATAAATGTCATGTGAAGATCAAATTCCCATCTCACAGAAGTGTTTGTTCAACAAAGCACAGCAGGGCCTTCCCAGGGAGCTTAAACAGAGCAAGGACCTGCAAATAATCCTGCTCTCAAATTTCATCCAGGGCAGTGCCACAACCCTGCCTTGTCCAGACAACCACAGGGCACTGCTGAAGGCCACAGCTGGAGCTGCCCACCTGACTCAGGCCACTTCCAGGAGTTTTTACCCTGCAGATCCGTGGTATTGTGAGGGTCCCCAGGACGAGGTGAGAATTTGACTCCATGTTCTCAGAAGGCTGGTTATTATATTATATTATATTATATTATATTATATTATATTATATTATATTATATTATATTATATTATATTATATTATATTATATTATATTATATTATAAGACATCAGAAGGCTAGAAAGGAATGATAATGAAAGCTCATGACTGACTCAGAGAGTCTGACCCACCTGGCGGTGATTGGTCATTAATTAAAAACAATTCACATGGAACCAATCAAAGATGCACCTGTTGGTAAATGATCCTCAGCCCACATTCCCAAGCAATCAGATAATTCTTGTTTTCATTCTTCTCTGAGGCCTCTCAGCTTCCCGGGAGAAGAAATCCTGGTGAAGAGATTTTCCAGAGAATATCCTGGTAACACAGATCACAGCCCTGTGTGTGCAGGGCACACCTTGGGGCTCTGGGCACCTCTGGGTTTGCAGAGTGTGGCTTGGGAACAAGAACTGCCAGCTTGAGAAGGCAAGAATTGCACTGAGCTAAAGTCTGAGTAACCCAGACTGGGCAGTGCCAGGCCACCAATTCTGGATGCAGAGTGACCACACCAGGATAAAAGTGATGGTTTAATCTGAATAATTCATTCCTTGGGCCATAATTATATGAATGGGAAGGTATGTTTTCCCAGCCCTTTCTTGGCCCAGCAAACTGTCAGAAATAAAGTGTCACAGCTCCTCCTGGGGATCCCTCTAGCTCTAAATACATATTGGAGGAGATATTTCTGGGGTGGTATGGAAAAGCATTTCCTGTACTCTGTAACTGATCTCTGCTGATCCCCACAGCTGAGAACACGGCCCTGTTCTCCCTCATTTCCCTTCGTGCCACACACACCTGGATGTTTCTGTCCGCAGCAGAAACCTGCCTGGCCCTCTCAAACGTCAGGGGGCATCACTGGGATCTTTCTTTGATTCCTGTAGTGCCACTGGATTTTACCAACAATGATATCCCAGCATGAGGTTCTGCTTGCCTCATAAATTCAAAGTTTTCTTTCACAGCAGATTTGGAGTTTGTATGCAGTCCTACTCTGGAACAGAAGACAATAAAAGTAATAAATTCAATGTATTCAGCTCATTTTACCTGGATCTGGCTCCAGCAGTTCCCTTGAAGCCTGGTGCTGTTGGAACACTCTGCTGATGCCTCCACTGCAGTCAGGGGGTAAAAAGGAGGGGAAAACAAGGAAAAGAGGAGTTTTCCCAGCCCAAGGAATGAGCTGAGCGTGCCCAGCTCTGTGCTGAGCTCCAGCAGCTCGGGCACAGAGCTGTAAAACACCTGGGCTGCACAAACTGCTGCCTTTCCTCACACACAAAGGAGATTTCACCAGGCAGCAGCTGCTGATGCCAAGGAAACTGCAAAGATAAGGAGTGAGAGGAAAAGTTATTACATTTAAAATGTTATCATTAGCACCAACAGGTTTACAAAAACCATCATAAATTTTGCCTGCCACGTTCCCTTCCCACTGCCATGGAGCCAGCCAATGTTCCAGCTGCTCCTGGTGGCTGTGGAGCTTAAAGGAGGTTTTATCTCCAGTAAGTGTTTATTTCACTCTCCATAAAGTAAAAGGCACCACAGTTTAGAAATAATGCATTCCCAGCCCTGAGTATTATGGGGAACCCATTATTTTTATTGCTTGCTGTGTAAAGGATATTTCATATTTAGGGAACAGAGCTGTTCCCAGATAAATAAGGAGGTAGAAGCTGCATTAAAGCCTTGGTGCAAAATACCCATCCAATTATGAGCCAGGCAATGCAGGAGTACATTGTACCTGCTCCCACAAGCTTTATAGCCCTGAGAACAATCCCTTATTTGCATGTGCAATTACTGCAGTTGCATTTGCAATTACATCAATTGTCCAATTACATCAGCTGTGTTTCCAATGAGCTAAAAGGGAAAAAAAAATCAAGTACTCCTTGCTCTTTGCTGTAATAAAAATGTGATTTGCATTCACAGGAAAAAAGATTTCTGTTTGCTGGGAGATGAAATTAGACTACCTTGGGGTACTTTGCTTTTCTTGCATGAAGCCTAAGTATTTCTGTGATATTAAAAAAGGTTGGAGCTGTTTGATAACTTGAAACCGCACAGTAATTTCTTCTCTTGGGCCACTGTAATTACTGTGCAGTTTTCCATTGTCATCAGAGAAATTATTTTACATTTAGAATTAATAGGACACAGTCTCGGGGCAGATCCCTTAAAGCTTTCTTTTCCTAATAACTTAGATCATTAGGAGTCACATACATTCCATTTCTCAGAAATGTGCAAATGAAAGAAGTCTGAACTCCAAGCCAGAATTCTCTTTCCAGCATTAGCAGCATCTGCTCTTTCTAATAACTCCACAGGTGGTAGGAAATCCCTTAATCTGCTCATCACCAATTTCCACGTGTGAAATGAGAGCTTCTGAAAGTGCAGCAACAATCAGAAAATACAGAAATGGAACCCAGGATTTTTGAAGTGTATGGAGCATTTCCAGGATTTTCAGCTCTTACTTTAACAGTTTAGGAACAGAAAGTTTTGCTTATTTTCTTCAGTGCTGAATGAAGGCTGTGATTTTCCCTGTGCTGCAAATTTGGGCATCAGCAGAGAGGGATTTCAGGGAGATGTTCCCAAACCTCACGTTGAGGTTGTGCAGGGGACAGGGGGAGCTGGGGGCTGCAGGGCCACCCTGGCCCCTGGAAATCCCTTCATTTTGGGCTATTCTGTGGTTTTGCCAAGCCCATGACCAATTGATGTCCCTCAGCAGATGGAGCTGACATGTCCAGAGGTGGCCAAGGCACCATCCATGTGCCCTGAACCTGGATATCCATGAGGAATTTCCAGCAGTGATGCTGGAGCCCCTGTGCAGGTCCTGCTCCCACACCTACAGGACTGAATTCCCTCCAGCCCCACATTAAAGCCTAAAGGATAAAGAAGAAAATAAATCTGCTTTGGTGAGTGAATGTTGCACCTGGAGGAAGCAGAGCCTGCTCTCTCCTGAACAAAACAGCAACAAAACCAACCCAGCACCTGATTTGCTCTTCCTCTCCTCAGAAACAGATGGGAATAACTCTGGGGAAGGGAAGAGCTGGCTGGGGGTGTCATCTGTGTGTCAGCTGAATTCAGGCTCCTGCTTAGATCAGCCTAAGCAGGGCAGACAGGCTCGCTCTGCTGCCTCTACACCTCAAGCCAGGGAAATAAGAAAGGTGCTTTGGCACTGCAGATCCTTCCTGGCTTTGGCACCTTTAGACAAATACACATTAATTAAAAAGGCCTGAAAAACTGACTCTGAGAAAAACTAGAAAAGCTTATTTAATTGTTAGTCCAGGTCCAAAATAAACAAATACCTCTGCCACTGAAGAACAGAAACAGAGCGTTGCGCTCCCGTCAGTAGCTCAGGTTTAACCTCCTCAGAGGTGACAGTCTCTGGCCCAGGGTCTCCTCCTCCTGCACAGTGCTTATCTGGTATAATTTTAATGCATCCTTACCTTTCCTATTTGCTGCTTTCAGATGTGTTTTTCTCTTTCCATTACATAACAGCACACACTGAAGTTAAACAGAAGGCAACAGCAAGAACAGCTTTGTGACCAAAGCTCAGCTGCTCCCACCCAAAGCTGCTCCCCTGCCCCTCTCCCAGCAGACACCTCAAGCAGCTCTGGTCTAGAGAGTTCATTCAAACCATGGATTAGACCTTGGGGGGACGTTTTTCACTGGTGGAAGTGAAAATGTTTTACTCCCTTTGAAATAACTTTCCTTTTACTCTGAAGTCATTAAAAGTGATGGGATGGAACAACTCCCACGTACTGTGGAGAAATCAGGAGCTGCTCTCAGCTCAGTTCCAGCCCCATAAGTGGGCTTTGGGAGCACTTTAAGTAATTTTGGCACTCCAGCTGTGTTGAGAGGTTTCCAAAGAACCCTTTATTAGTGGTGAGAGTGTCCCTGTGCCCTCTTCAGACACTGAGGATGGTTCTTCACACACCAGCACTGGCCCTGGCACATGTAGATCTCAGGAGATTTCAGGGTGCAGCCTCCTCCTTCCCTGAAGGACAGGAAAAACCCTCAGCACAAAAGAGTTAATGCCAGAACATCTTTTTACTTAGTCTGACAAAGTCCTGGGGAGCAAAGCTCAGTTTTTACACAAGAAAACAGGGTATATATTGGATATATTTCTGAAAGCAATCATTTCTCTTGGTGATAACATTCATTCTTGTCTCCAGTCACATTTTGTTTTCATGTGTAATTTGTGTGTAACTGTATATAGGGCTGAGACTGCAAACCTAAACGGCAAATGTTATAAATAAAGACCTTCACAGAAAAAAAGAAATGCAGCAGCAAAGTGCTTTAATTTGTATTTGCCAGTTCTGGGAACAATTGCTGTGGGATGAATGCCTGGCTCTTTCTGTCAGGGAAACTTTGCTATTAATTCCTCAGCCTGAGAACAATTCTCCACTTAGCAGAGAGCTTTGGGGTATTAAAGCTGGGACAGCAGTTTTACAGCAAGCACCCACACAAGATGGGCCAGCAGAATTGTTGGATGTTTGCTTGGAAGATGGAAACTTGTTCCAGAGCCAGACCCAGTCATGGCAAACATGGCAAATATCACCTGAAATTCATTAACATCTCACTGAACAATATTATTTTCATTTATTTCCCTTGCCCAACCTCCTCTCCCCTTTTCCCTTCACATCACCAGCTGCTTCCAGCCCTGCATTTGGGTCCCACACCAGGTCAGTGTTTGAAGCCCTCAGACAAATGGGTTAATTGTGCTTTAATTGGTTCCACAGTGATAGGAGACTGCACTGACAGAAGCTCCAGAAATCACTGAGAGCTTTTGGGATAGAAATAATGTGGTGTTATTTTAATGTTAAATTCACTTTATGAGCAGCAATATAGAGGGAAGGTTTTTAATTAAATAACAAGGCTTATCTAGACATTAAACATTTGGCTTTGAGCAAATTAATTAGATAAATTTAGAGCCAGTGTGGGAGAACTGGACTGACACATAAACCCACTGTGCAGTTTAGGAAACAACCTGGAAAATCAAGAGTTCAATATTAAATGTACAGAGGTGTCCAGCACTGAAGATTTCACCACAAATCACATGGAACATTTATGACTTGGAGGATTTCTTATTTCTGACTCCATTTCAGCAGCACTAAATGAAGGAATATTTAGTGATGAATTAAACATTTGTAAAAAGGAAGAAGTTTAAAATGCTATGCATTAAGAACTTAAGTTGACCATTCCCCTTTTCTTGCCCTCTGCCTTCTGAGCTCTCTTATTGGAAAACCAGATTTCCATTAATAAAATAAATTTATTTCACTCTGCCTGTTGAGCAAGAAAAAAGCTTTG